CAGATACAGAGTTAAACGGGAGAAAAAAACAAAACAAAAACAAGAGCAGAGCATTCTAATTCTATGTTTGCTATCACTTTTGTACAAAAGGGGAGAAAAAAAAAGCTATAAATCAACTTGCCAAACATATTTTTGTTTGTATATGCACAATGTATTTCTAGAACACACCATATACTGGTAACAACGGGAAGTAAACTTGGTAGCCAGAAGACAGAGACATTTTTGTACCCTTTTATTTAAAACTGTATGAATTTATCATCCAAACAAGAAGCCTACACATAGCTACTTAATTACTCAGTCACATAGTATATCCAAAAATTACTATTACCCATCTCATAATTTTTTGCTTTAAGTATAAGAATAACTTTCAACAAAATAATCTCCTTTTCTCCTAGTTATTTTTAAATAACTTGTTAATGCCCCCAGTCTTTCTTTTGTGGGGGAAAAACACCCATCAATCATGGGCCTGTTTAGTATTATAGCTTACAAACAATCTGATTACATACATGCTATGCCAATTCTATCTAGATATATAGCATAGAACCCCGTAAAAATTGATGTCTCCAAAACCACTATTAAAATGATTAACATAAACATCAATATCAGTCTGTATCTGAATCACTGAAATCTCTCTCTCTCTCTCTCTCTCTACATATATATATATATATAATATACACATATATATGGCTAATATGCAAATTGACCCCTCATAAGTTCAACTGGGAGACCAGGAGTTTAATTGCTCGCTATCATGTGCGCTGAACACTAGGGGGCAGCGTGGAACGAAGGAAGACCCCGGCCGGCAGCTGGAAGGCCCCGATCGGCTCTGATCGCTGGCCAGGCCTACGGACTCTATGCGTGCACAAATTTCGTGCACTGGGCCTCTAGTTCTAAATAACGGAGCAGGTTTTCACTACTAAATAAAACATAATTATGTGACCAGATGGAGGTGCTAGCTAACACTACAGTAGTAATACTGCAACATAAAAATTTATCAAATCAATAACTCTACACCTTAAACTTCTACAATATTATATACCAATTATATCTCTAAATAAATAAATAAATGAAACAAAAATAAGTAATAGAGCAACATTTGACAAGCATTCTATGTTTAAACTCTTGACTATCTCCTCAGCTCTCCCCAACCTTGGCCAGTAAAGACTAATAAAACATGATGAACTAAACTAATTACTTTGAAAAGTAGCTATATCCCATTATTTTCACTGCACTTAAAATTTTAGGCTAGTAAACAACCCCAGGAATTCTGCTGTGTTCACTATTCTATATGTACTAAGCCTTCATATTTAAAAACTGGAAAGCCTTTTTCAAAAGTTTCACCTTGCATTCTCTCTTTTTTTTTATGACTATCATTATTGATTTGAGAGAGGAAGGGAAAGGGAGAGATAGAAACATCAATGATGAGAGAAAATCACTTTTTAAATATATATTTTATTGATTTTTAACAGAAAGGAAGGGAGAGGGATAGAGAGTTAGAAACATTGATGAGAGAGAAACATCGATCAACTGCCTCCTGCACACCTCCTACTGGGGATGTGCCCCCAACCAAGGTACATGCCCTTGACCGGAATCTTCCCTAGAGACAACAGTTGTTACCAGTAGAGGGCGTGCAGGAGTCAGCTGATAAATGATTTTCTCTCACGCTAACCAGTTTGGCTCAGTGGATAGAGCATCGGCCTGTGGACTGAAAGGTCCCAGGTTTGATTCCAGTCAAGGGCATGTACCTTGGTTGCGGGCACATCCCCAGTAGGAGGTGTTTTGTTTTGTTTTTGAAGGAGATACAGAAATGTGGGCCCAAGCATCTTCCATAAAACATTTTATTAGGAAAATGCTCCTCCCTGCACAATATACAGCATCTTGGAAATTCACAATGCATACATTGTAAGTTCTGAGTCCTACAGAAACCTGACTGCTGTGTTTAACCCAGTTTCCCAAACTCACTTTACTGAAGAACATCCCAATACACCAGCACCTCGCCCTCAGCCCCCAAAGCCAACTAATATCCACTTGGACTTAATGCTCCTTGGAAAACATTAGGAAAATCTGCTCTCAGTATGTTACAAATACAAAATTAAAAAGAGTATTCGGAGAATGTTATTTATCATTTGTGGAACTGAAATGTACTAGTGGAAATATTTTAATATATTGATGTCTACTGTCTAAACCAATACATTTCTAAGAAGCATTTCATATATTTTGTAACTCAGTCAACTAAAATGCTTTTAATTTCATGAATTTTTTATTTTACTTTATTTTTTTATGAATTTTTTAATAAAAATAAAATTATAGCCCAATTATTTAAACAAATATTTCCCCTATAAAGTAGAATTCATTAGAAATATACTCCCTCCTTACCCCATGCCTAAAATATGTTTAAGTTATATTAGCTTCCTAGGATCTGGCTTGTATCAAAAGACATGCCAGAAGTTCCAATAAATAACTCATAACCTATAACACTTCCACTAAAAATAAACATGACATTTTAAAAAGGCAAATTTTTCTGTAAAGTCATCAAAAAGTTATCAACTATGTAAAGAGCTAATGTACTTTTTACCTCCTCTACAGCCCAAATGTGAATGAGTGAATCAAGGTCACTAATATACTATCCTATCTAATAAAAGAGAAACATGGTAATTAGCCATACGTCCGCTACCCTTCCCATTGGCTAATCAGGGCGATATGCAAATTACTGCCAGCCAAGATGGCAGCCGGCAGCCAGGCAGCTTGA